ATACACATGAACCTTGATCATTTGCCTATTAGTTTTGGTGTGGTAACCTTGCCCCGACAGAAATTGTTCCTGCTCATCCCCGTTGCAGTTTATTCTGAACAAACCTCCCGAATCAATATTTTACTCTATCTTATTCTGCTAACCTTTTCCATTCTCCTTTTTCATGTACATGATGAGAGTATAAATCAACCTTGAAACTTGCCTTGCGGGAGATTGGACGCGGTGGACTTAGCATGGCGAAAAGGACTGGGTATGAAGAGAAAATCCATGGTTGCTCTTAAAGTCAGGTGCTTCATTCAAAGATGGAATTCAGTTTTTTATAGACTTCAAGGACTCTGCAGAAAAGTTGGAATTTAATGCCTCCTTGCAATTTCAAACTGTGTTGAAACCTCTTTGTAAAAGTTATCATTGTTGATCACAATGTTCAGCATTTTTAGCCTTTTATGAACCTCCTCTTTTTTTTTAACCTTTGTATCACAAACTATGTAATACTTTGAAATATCATAAAAAAATTCTGAAATCACAGCCCACACTATTAGAATGGCATGTTACTTGCATCATGATTTTGGCTCCATGGGATTAATAATTACTAAACATAAACTTAGTCATGGCTTGATTGTTTAGTCGTGTCTTGAAAAGAATGACCTGGACCATACTCACTTGGCTCACTAGACTCTCATGGACAAAATGAAACAGGAACTATAAAACCTTAATTAAAAGTTAACTTGGAGCAAGGTCAAGATGAAATTTGAAGTGATCTTTCTAACATTTCTAGTTAACGAGCCCTTATCATTTATCATGAATGACACCCAAAACGCTCGATCTCTTGAGAAACCTTAAGACCAATCAACTTGAAATTTGGTGAAGAATTTATTTTGGAATGGGCTTTTGGAGTTTGAGAAGAAAAAAAGATGAAATTGGAAAATATTTGACATGGTTTGGATTTAAAATAGAAAAGAAATGGACCTTTGTGATTTTGTGAAAAATGTGAGCTTTTATTTTTGTAGAGGTTTTTTGTGGATTGATGGGATAGTTGAATTTATTTAGCTATGATCCAATATACACTCTTTGAGAATTTTTGTATGAATGTGGACTTCATGGCAACTTCATGTATTTTGGAACCTTAAACTCAATTTTCTTGATTTGAAATTCCAATAAGACCCTAAAAGTCTTATGAACCAAAATTTGCCCTTGAATTCTTACTTTGAAATAAGATCTTAAACACAAGCATAAATCGATTTTGAACTGTGGATGGACTAAAGCTTTGAGTCAATAGGAGATCATCTCTGAATTTTTCCACTTGAATCATGATGCCCATCTCTTTACTATGGATCAAATGAAGGGGGCACTCCTTGAAAATCAAAGTATTATGACTTGAGAAATGAACTTCAGTACACCACACATAACCCATTTAAATCAATGCACCATGACCTTGATTCTTGAAACCATCCCTTTTACCCGAATAAGATTAGGTCAACCAAAACGATTCTCAATCCATACTGTACACACTCTTGTCCTGACAGCCACACATGAATCTCAATTTCCCTCAACTCATCCTTGTGATGTCCTAAGTGTGGACAATAGGCGAAAGTAACATACTTTAAGTCTTTTGAATAACAGTTAGTGGATGGATGTGCGAATGCAAGTTATATACAGGTTAGGACAAATTTAGGGTATGACAATGGTCTTAGGCAAGCCTCACGCAATTAGTACTCAAAACTGTCCCAAGCATTAGTGAAGTATGGTTTTCAGGAATGTGAAGCTGATCATAGTTTGTTTACATATTCATATGGTTCAGTTTTCATAGCTGTATTAATTTATGTTGATGACCTTGTTGTGACTGGGAATGATACAAAGTCATGTGAAAATTTCAAACAATACCTCAGCGAATGTTTTCACATGAAGGACTTGGGAGAGTTGAGATACTTTCTTGGTCTAGAGTTAGCTCGCGGCTCTTCTGGATTATTCATTTGTCAAAGGAAGTATGCCTTGGACATTCTAAATGAATGTGGGATGCTAGCTTGCAAGCCTTCATCTATCCCACTTGAACCAAACCATAAATTAGCATTGGATTCAAGTCCTTTATATGAGAATCCTTCACAGTACCGTAGGTTGGTGGGACGACTCATTTATCTCACAATCACTAGACCAGAATTAACATACTATGTCCATATTCTAAGTCAATTTATGCAGAAACCTCACCAAGGGCACTGAGACGCAGCCATGCATGTTTTGAGGTACTTGAAGTCTTCACCGGGGAAAGGAATTGTCGTACCAAGAGATAATGACCTCAGATTGGTTGCATATTATGATTCAGACTATGCGTCATGTCCACTAACCAGAAGATCAATATCAGGTTATGTCATGAAGTTAGGAACAACTCCCATTTCATGGAAAACCAAGAAACAAACTACCGTATCAAGGTCCTCGAGTGAAGCAGAGTATAGAGCAATGGCTCACGCCACAAGTGAAGTCATATGGTTAAGAAGACTACTTACACATTTACAAGTAAAGTGTGATTCTCCTACAGTTATGCATTGCGACAATCGTGCTGCTATTCATTTAGCTTCAAATCCGGTTTTCCACGAAAGAACGAAACACATTGAAGTCGATTGTCACTTCATTCAAGAATTTCTTGTCAAAGGTATTATAGTTACTGTCCACATACCAACCAAGTCACAACAAGCAGATATTTTTCACAAAGTCTTTGAGAACAAAACAATTTCGAGAACTATCAAGCAAGTTGGGATCTCATCATCCTCAATCTCCAACTTGAGGGAGAGTAATTAGCTGTAATATTATTAGTTGGTATAAGCTGTCTGGTTAGCATCCATTGTGACAGATTGTGCCAATGAATTAGAGTTAATTTGTCAAGGCCTAGAATGATTTAATTCCTAAAATAGAATTTATTTGTCTCTTTGTGTAGCTATATAACTATTGTAAATTGTGCAGAATAATACACACAGAAACGTTTTGTTTTACAAGTTTCTGTTATTTCATTATTTATCAACATGTAGCAGAAAATCATAAAAAGACAACTTTATTTCAACTTCATAAATAATTAGTAAACTTCTCAAACACCAAAGTCAACATTAACTAAAAAATAATTAGTAAATTTTATTACACGATCAGAGCACTAATACCACTAATGTGCGATAAAGCAATAAATAAAACGAAGAGTAACTCTAACAAACCACCTCCCACACACAATAACAATTTTACTCTTGGGTATCTGCGAGATGTCCATGGTGGACAACATAGAGGAAAGGGGTTAGAAATAACTTTAATATGAAACAATGTAAAGAATGCGAAGGTAGAGAAATACACAACATATCATACATTCGATACACAATCAACATCACCATAGTCTCATACTCATTCCTAATTTTATACACAACATATCATACATTTGATACACAACATATCAAACTCACGACACAATGTGACACTTATGCATGTGGTATCAACTCAGCATTTGGTTATCTCTGAAACTGGGTCCCCCATTATGAACTCATGACACCCTCCCCCCCCCCCCTTTCTGAGCTTGGGACAAGCCAATAGCCTCCCCCTTCTGAACTAGTGAACATGTCTCAATCAGTGACACGACACAATGATGCATGTCCATACAAATCAATGCAATAACAATAATAATGTTTACGATTCCCCTTCTTACCATAAGCAACATTCATTAACACACAATAGTAACACCCCCCCCCCCCCCCCCCCCCCCCCCCCCACCACCACCACCACCACCCCACCCCCCCTTTTGAATAACTATCCACCAATAACAACATCAATGCACCCATCCATACATAATTAATCACCATATAATCATATATTTCATAATAAATGAATCATATTCACACCATATGATATAACAAACAACAGCACCATAACACGAATTTAACAATACACAACAATATCACTACAATCAAACATATTATAAGGCACATATCAATCACGGATCATGGCAATTGGACACCCTAAATCATTCATCGCCTTCATCAATTCATATTCATGTTCAAAACTTCAAATATGCAACAATGGCAGAAAATCATATATTCATAAACAGAATGTTTCACACATGAATTCAATCACAGCAATCACATAATCAACATAATTAACCATCAATTTTTCAGATTGTAGCATAACAACAACACATCAAAACAGAATTACACAATCCTAATTCTTAAAACCAAACTTTTGTTTATCTTTAACTTAGCTTAATTTGAAGTGGTGTTTGTTGTATATTTGATGCGTATGAAGATTGAAATTCGGATTCTGGAAGTAATTTTAAAATTTCGTCAGAGCATGTAAACAAAGCATGTGGTGTAATGAGTAATAACCCTATGAAATTATGTTCTGATTATTTGATTTTGGGCTTGTGGTGTTCTAAATCCTAATGGTTTGATATTCACACTATTTTTATGGAAATGGTTAAATATACTCCATAAATAGTATTGTACTTCATATTTTTTGATTTGGGTAAATATACTCTTCCTTATTTTGCTTTCCCTCACACCCCATTTTTCTGTTTTTTATCCAATAAACCTCAAGTTTTTTTTAAACTTAAACAAGAAATGTCAAGAGTATGATACAGACATTTTTAAAATGTACATTGTAATCTTAAAAAACAAAAACTTGGTCGGTTCATGACCCCCTATGTAGCAAATATTCATATCATATGCCACACATTACACCAACATCAATGAAAGAAAAAGCCACTTCAACAAAACAAGTGGACAAAAAATAACATATAGAGGACCATGCCCCCATCACCATAATCGTACCTTCAACCCAAATTTCAATGCATCTAGATTTGGCTACATCATAAACCAATAATTTAACATCACAACAAACAAGTAGCTTTCATAAAAAAGCAAAAATGTATGCACCAATATCAAATAAATCTCATATTTCCTCTTCATTAGTCTAAAGATAAATTCAAAAAACCTTATACAATGTAACATTGTAAAATCACTAAACAAAGTTCTATGAAATCAACTTGTATCTGTTGTATCCCTATTGCTACACTTGAAACTTTTAAGCAGAGATATTTTTCTCCCTATGAACAAAAATAATAAAATAAACACAAAAATTCGATAACCTATTGCCATCAGAAACAAAACCAACAGATTTTTCCATTTCGAGTTAGCGTCGGGGGAGATATTGTACGCGCTTTGTAGAGCTTGATAACCAGATATCGACCTTACCTGCCCAACCGCAAAGGATGTGCCTAAATACTCGTTCTCCAATAGCCCCTAAGAAAGATCAAGACGAGTAAACGAGATAATTAGATGTATGTGGAAAACTATTTTACACTGTCAATGTTTATCAGATATCTATTACCTGAATTGAGTATGTATGAAAGGCTATATAGGACATTGGATACATCCACATTGGTCCTGGCAATGTACTTCGAATTCTGAAATAGCCGGCTGAGAGCATCATGACCACCTGAAATGGCGTATATATATGCATGCATCAGGATCAGAGTCATCTTAAGTTTTTGGAGGCTCTGTGTAGGTTAGCCACATTTCAACAATGACAAAAATTAGAGGCCTTATTTATGAGACCCTATTTAGTTACACTTTAACCTTGAGAAACTTTGGACCATGTGCAATAGTCTGTCTTGCACGCCCTCAAAGACGACATAAAGACCTAAAAACTTTTAAGTAATCACATTGTTTAAAATAAATGGGCAGCGGAACTCACGTGTATGCATAAGAGTGTCAAGACACTCCAGAAAACTTCTTGCCACAAAGTAGCGACAACTAGCATGATTCCTTCGTTAAGTAAGAGAGTCACGAAAAAATTCAGCACGAAGTACATTAACAAGCTGAACTGATCTTCTAGCCCGACTAGGAAGTAGAAGACTAAACTTGACGTAATGGAGATGAGAAAAAGAAACGGAATGCTCGACAAGAGCTGCGCAAGTAAAAATACAAATGTACTCGAGTGTTGGTTTGATTCTTCACACGCATATATCTGCAGAAAAGCAAATTATTCAACTTCATCAAAAAGACAGACGTGTCTATTACTATAAATAATATTCACGCATTGGCAATCATATTGTAAAGTCGAAAAAGCGTAAGAAAAACTACCTGGATTTCTTTCAAAAGTGCAGGTACCCTGGCGATGCTTAGAAGTGAACAGAATGACACAAATACAAAAATCGCTGCAACTCTTCCCTGCAATTTAAGGAGTGTTAAAAGTGATTTTATATCGGTTATAATTTATAATTACATCTAGAATTGTTGGTATGTATAAATGACGTGCAATTGTCGAGTCAAGACTCACCCCAACAGAAGACAGAGAATGACCTAAACCAGAAAATGCAGTACCGATGCACAGTGTGAGGAGCACGTAAAGAATAAGATGAAGCCAATAATATTTCCATTCTCTTGACACGACCAATAAAGATCGCCACGTTAAGACCGCTACCCGAGTAGCATTGCTAGCTTTACCTTTGCTTTTGAGAGCCGGACCTTCCTGGATATTTGCGAAGGAAGAGACTTATTTTATGGTGCAGTTTCAAGTCTATATTAACAGAAATTCTAACTTGCGCAGCAGCTATAACGTACCTTCTCAGTGAGTTTCAGAACCATTGTTTCGACAGAAGCAGCATCTGCAGATGACTTATATGTTGCTTCAAGTGTGCGTATAGCAACAGCAGTGTCCATGTTTACGGAAGAAAAATCTCCATTGTCATCCTATTAGGATGAAAACGTTAATAATAGCATAACCTTTAAAAGAGTTTAATCGGTTAACATTAATATATCAATGACGCATAACATTTCAAAATGTTAAATATTTTAATATTAACATGGAAACGAGAAGTTAATAATCAACTTACTAAAAAAAATTACCTGCCAGTTTTTACACATAGCAATTATTCTGTCAAAATCTGTATTAATTGCGCGTAAAAAGTGATCAGAAGGACTTTGCATGATCGGACAAGGAAATCCAGCATTCGAAAAGTGCTGTACGAGCATAAAATTATAACAGTCAATTGCAAGATATGTATTCCTTTGACTAGACGAATAGGTTTAACGAAAAAGTGAAGTTAAGTCGTTCTTAATTGAAGTTTTGTGCAGGGGTAAGAAAGTATAGAAGATAAGTTACCTGCAAGCAAGCTAACGTTTCTCCGAAGAACAAGGTATTTCCATTCGAAAGCAGACAAATTCGGTCGAAAAGACCAAAAACTTCCGTGCTACTCTGGTAAATGGTTATGATAAGAGTGCAACCAGTGCTCGCAAGTCTCCTCAATGTAACCATCATCAAAAGTGCCGAGACACTTAAAATAGATATATAACGAAAAGAATGTTAACGAAATTTTTTCTCTAAATATAGAATACTATCAAGAAATTAGTAGTGGATTATTACAGAAAAATGAATTGAAAAAAAAAAATAGACACCTGTCCAAATGATAAAGAGGTTCGTCGAGAAATAAAATGCGTGGTCTCATCACAAGCTCCCTAGCAATGCTAACAAGCCTTCTCTCCCCACTAGGAAGTCCTTTCATATAGCAATGGCCGCCTATAAGCTTATTTGCATGCTCACCTAACGACATTGCGTGTATAGCGTCTTCTACTACACTCTTTTTCTGACAAAAGAAACCGGGAAGTTGCAGCAAGGCTGAATAGTACAGAAACTCGCGCACAGTGAGGGATCCGATCAGAGTGGTTTCTCTATCCACATAACCCTGCGAATTAAGAAAACAAATTTAGATATACATATACACTTTTAAACTTACACAATGGAAATTCAGAAACTGAACTCACATATGATCCATAGGGCATTTGTGATTTCACTCCGTTCACAAACACTTCGCCATACATCCTAGCTGAAGGATGCAATCTTCCTGAGGTAAAGAGAAAGTTCCATTTTAGCTTTGATTACCGAAATACAAAGACAAATATCATTTGAAATGTTTAGTAAAAAAGGACATTAAAGCGTTCTTCGAGACCTGCAATGGCGCGTAATAACGTAGATTTCCCTGATTTAGCCGGGCCCATGATTACAGTCAATGTCCCGGGCAATGCATAACCGGTTGAACTCTTAATAACCTTATCAGAGTACTTTCTTTTTCCCTTTATAGTAACAGTCAAATCTTTCCAAGCAACAGAAGCCCCGGCAATTTTCCTTGGAATGACAGCACCTTCCGGTAGATGCGGTGAAGGCAAGGAGCCGCTGTTGAGCTTCGAGAGAGAAGGTGAAGCCGGCGTTGTTGCAGCATTAATAGAATCACCTCCTTCATCAACTCTAACATCAACATCCGTAGTATCATCCCACTCAGGCGAATCCTCGAACGAGATCGGTTGCCTCAGCGAACCGGGTTTACGCAGATAGAAAAAGTTGCTCGATGGTACCCTACTCGCCGGACTACTAGCCGATGATGAAGAAGACCTATAATTATCCGACTGAGACTGTATTTCTTCCATGATCCTCAACTTTTCCCCCCTTAAAACATCAAAGGATTGCTCAAACTGAAACAAAAAACAAAAAGCAGACACCACAATGACAATCTGCAAAACCAAAATGCAATTAATCTCTACATTGAAACACTAACTTGTAGCAATAAAAAAATCCACAATTGAAATGACATAAAAAGTAAGAGGGGTATTCCTGTTACACAAAACCCATATTTATTTCCCATTAAAAAATGGAACAATAACCGAAAAATCAAATCTTGCACACAAAATTTCCTTCTCCATTGATATCAACTATACCATATATAAACACCACTTTCACAAACCAAACTATTATTATTCATTTATTTCACACTAAACATAAACAAAAAAAATAAAAAACAAAGATAGTAGCAAAAACAAAAACAAAAACAAAAACAAAAACAAAAACTCTTGTTTTTGTTATACTAGGTGAGCTGAAAATCCAACACAAAACAATGAATATGAATGGTGAAAACTACAAAACAAAGAAGAAATGAGAAGGAACATACATACCAGGATCTGATGAAAACATTGTTATTGAGAGAGTGAAGAAGAAGGTGAATGAGAAAAACCTGTGTGTGGTTTTGTAAGTATTGGAAGAGTTATTGATTTGACCCGTTGAACCCGGGTTTTTTTTCTTTCTATGTCCTAATGTTTTGTTTTTTGTTTTTTGTTTTTCTCAATCTTAGTGTCTGTCTCACACTTTCTCTTTTATCTTTTCTTTACTTTTTCTCCTTTTCTTTTTTTTTTTTCTTTTTTCATCAAATCATCATAATGTTCCACTAATCATAATAACAAATTAATTACTCTTAGTAGTCATGATGTCAAACAAGAAGTTATGAATACTTGGTCATTATTGGAGTGGTAGTTTAATGAATGAGATTTAGATGAAAAAAATGTTTCTCTAATTTAAGATTTGGTTGATTTGGGCTTTCCCAAATTGTGTAACTTGTAAGTTTTGACTTCATAACTCATGGATAATGACAAATTTAAAATGGGAGTTAAGAAATATTAGAAACAAAAGTAAAAAAAGTTTGTTAGTGGAGGGAGTCGATACTTTTAAGGAAAATGATGGTGTTGTATTAATGAGTATGGTAGAATTTATATTGTGAGCAATTTGATTTTATAGTAGAATTTTTTCTTCTTCTTTGGTTTATATATTAATACAATATAAAAAATACAAAGAAATGTTACTATTAAAATTAATCATTTCAAATAAAAAAGAAGATAAAAATATAGATGAAAAAAAAGTCAATAAATCATAATAATCCTATTTAAAATATATTAATTAATTATATAATATTTGGTTGGTATTTTTTTTTTATTTGTTTGAGTTATTTTTTATAATGTTATTACTCATTATGCATTAACATGTTTAAAAAAGTCTAAAATTTATTTGTTTATTTTATTAATAAAACATTATTAAAAAATTATTAATAAAATAAACACATATGAGTTTGTTCAAAATAACTTTGTTGTAGGGGAAGGCATTGTTAAAATAAATTTGGTTCATACCATGAATTCTCCAAGGTTTTGATGATAATAAAATATTTGAGAAAATAATTAGGATCTCTAACTAGTTTGTTTGTGTGTGCAGAATTATATTTACTTGATGGAACTAGCTCTGACACTAAAATGACTTTGGTTCGGTTCTGGTCACGCTCTCTCAAAGACGTATGATCAGAAAAGTAGTTGCTAGTAGACTCAAGCTCAGAAGTGTGTTATGTTGCCTCTAATGCTGAGTAATGTCACGTCAGTTCTGCTAACACATTACTCAAGATTTATTGACATTATCTTGTACAGGTTGTGTTGTACTTGAAACATAGTTGTATCCTTTGGACAAAGGTTTTGTTTCACAGATACTCTTGTGATTGTAAGTCCCAACACTTGCTTTATGGAAAAAGAAGATGTACTAGAAAATTTGGTTCTGGTTGTAGCCGTTGAAGATCTCCAACGTATTTATTTTCCTTGGCTATAAAAAGGAGCTGAAGATTTGAAGATCACAAAGAAATAGTGTTGCAAATACATTTAAGAAATACACGCACTACTTTCAGAAATCTGAGTTTGTAAAGAGTTTTTACTCTTGTGTTGATTATGAATCTTTGTAATAGCGTGTTGTATTATTTGAACACATATGATATTTTATCAAGTGTTGTTGTAAGTTATTCATTCTCTAAACTATCTGTTTAGATTAAAGTCTCTTGTTATAGGATTTAGCAAGGTAAAGTCTTAGACACGAGCTTTAAGTAAAGGAAAGTCTTAATCAGAGGCTGGTTAAGCAAGGGAAAGTCTTAATCAGAGGCTGGTTAAGCAAGGGAAAGTCTTAGACACGAACTCTAAACAAGTTGAAGTCTTAGGCAGGCGGTCTAAGCAAGAGAAGTCTCGGTCAGAAGCTGATTGAGCAGAGTGAAGTCTTAGACATGAGCTCTAAGCAAGGGAAGTCTTGGACAAGCAGTCTGAGAAAAAAGAAAAGTCTTATACAAGTGTGTATAAACAAGTGTAATCTGGTTGATTATAGTGAAAAATCTCTTGCGTGGCAAGGGACTGAAGTACTCTCAGTTGGGAGAGGAATCAGGATAACTACTATGTGTTCCTTGCTATTTTTACTTTATTTTTGTCTCTGTTTCCCCTGCACCTTATCAGATTCTGAACTCAGTTTTTAGAATCTGAACTCTGGTTCATAAGTAAATCTATTTTAGCAAAACACAATTCAACCCCCCTTCTTGTGTATTTTTCTCACCTTCAAGCATTGCCAAAGACAATTAAAGAGGTTTATTAAGTGCTTTTTTTTATTAACCTAGGTTAGGAAGTTATGCTTTGCGCGTATATCATTTCTATTGTGGTAGTATTAGAATATGCAACAACTAGAGGATGGTATAAACTGACTCGTCGGGAGCGGTACCCTACATCATGCAAGAGAACACGATGTCTTGGAAACTTTGCAACATACAGGTAAGTTGCAAGACTTTGAATATCATGATAGAGTTCACTCACGTCTATAGAAATATGTGTGTGTGTGTGTGTGTGTGTGTGTGTGTGTGTGTGTGTGTGTGTGTGTGTGTGTGTGTATGTGTGTGTGTGCACGCGCAGATAGACTAGCCCTTCAGGATCATGAGGTGGTGGACATTCATTGGTGAAATTTGGTTTCTCCTTTCATTAACAAAGAGTTTCTTAATGATAAGTTGGAATTATCGAACTATAGATTTGCTTAACTTATTTAAGGATCTTGGAATCGGTCAGTCACGATGAAAAGTAGGTAAACTTCTAACTTGTTTACTTTCTCTCTTATCTATTTTGTTTTGCTGCTCTTTCTGGGTCAGGTATAGTCCCATATATATATATATATATATATATATATATATATATATATATATATATATATATATATATATATATATATATATATATATATATATATATATATATATATATATATATATATATATATATATATATATATATATATATATATATATATATATATATATATATATATATATATATGTGTGTGTGTGTGTGTGTGTGTGTGTGTGTGTGTGTGTGTGTGTGTGTGTGTGTGTGTGTTAGCATTTCAAATAAAAAAAATAAAATAAAACAATCTCTTTATATTTTATTTTTTTTACAAATTGACGTTTAATTTGCATTTTTTTATTAATTGCAATAATATGTGTTACTATAATTTATTTATATTTAAAAAAAATATTTTAACTTAAAAAACTTTATATCACTCTATGAATACATTTTTTTTTTATATCAAACTACTAAATAATCATCTTACTTTTGTTTAATTTCTTTCCTTTTCTTTTCTTCACCAATCAAACAAAGTTTAAATACAGTAACATTAAGTTATTTCAATTTTATTTTTTCACTTGATTCATTCTTTTAGTAAATACTATGTCTTCTCTTTGGCCTTTCATATTGATGTATCTCCTCCTTCTCTTTCAACTCCAAAGGAAGATTTCTAAAATGTAGTTGCAGACATTGGTATTGCGATGAGTTTTTCCCGCTGGTGTTACCGTCAAGATTCTTTTCTCTTTTTTCACCTTAATTAGGTAGTGTTGCACCCCAAAATTTGACCAACAATTATTCATTCATTGAGTGTTTGGAAGTGGATACCTTCATCAGAAAGTTCAAGAGATCCTCAGAGGAAGTGGATTGAAACCAGGGTTGTATGCTTCATAGCTTGAGAGTTGTGGGTGCCCCTCAGATGGTTCTAAGACTTTGAGAATGAATTTGATGTTTTGAGAAAGTGTATGATATGTCTTGATAGCCTTCATGAAGCCCAGAGAAGTCATTGTGCAAGAGTTCAGAGAATTCAACCATGAATGATGGAATTAGGGTTTTGACTGGGTCAACCCTAGGATAACTGAAGATTTGGAGAAGGTCGAGACCAATCCAAGGGCCATGAGATCATGGAATGATGCATAGAGATGATATAAAGATGATTCCTAGGCCAACTCATCATGAGTGAGGAGTTTGAGAAGTTTCAAGTCAGGGTCTCCAAGGATTGTCAGTGAAAAACCCTAATTTGATCCCTATCTTCCAGGCAGTTTTAGCTCAAGATGTGATTGATATCTCACCTTCCACATAACATGAATGTTGTAGAGCTTGTTCTAAGCTTTAATTTGAGTGGTGGAAGTCCTTGATAGGAGTTACAGAGCTCAAGTTATGGTTTTGACAAATTACAGGTCAGCAGAGGTGTGTGAATCTGGGTCTTTGAAGGTCACCCAACTTGCAGACAACTTTTGCCCTAGTAGGGTGATTCCTATGGCTTCTTGGTCAACATGAATGTTGAAGAGGATCTTCTTAGCTTTAATTTGAGTGGTAGAAGTCCTTGATTGTATTTGTGGAACTCAACTTATGGTTTGAACAAGACAGGGGTATTTTGGTCATTTGTCAGTTATAGGTCATTTTAGCCAATGCCTAAAACTCCTATTTCCAAGCCTCAAATGGAAAAACTCAAAACATGAAAGTTGTTCAAAATGTGATTT